CCCGCGCCCCTCCACACTCCCTCCCTGCCCCCGCCCTGCTGGCGCACACCCAGCGGGCACACGCAAAGACACAGACACGCTCCCCTGTGCACGTGCGTGCACACGTACACGCACACACACACACGCAGACGCATACCCCCCAGCCAGGCACAGCACACCCTGTAGCCTTGCACACCCGTGGGGCCAGCCGTGTGCACTGGCACACGTGTGTGCACACCACCCACCACCACCTTCCCCCCCAACACCTGGGCACAGGAACATGCGTGGCCTCGCCGGTGCCCCAAACCCACCGGGGTGCTGCCAGGACCTGAACCCTCTCCCCCGGGGGGCACCTGCAGCATGGCGGCGTCCCGGGGACAAGTGGCCGTGCACACGTGGGCGATGGTGCACAGGGCACAGGCGGCTGCGGGGTGCACACATCGGGGCTCACTGACACACAACAACTGCTGGGCTGGCACTGCCATGACATGGTCGGGGCAGCCCCTTGGGAATCCCCTTTCCCGCAGGCTGGCGGAGCGATGTGCCTCAGCTTGGGGACAGAAAGTGCTACTTTGGTCCTGCTGCTGAGAACTGGGAAACTCACATCATTGCCGCGGTGCACCCATGGCCCGTACGGAGCAGAGAGGGTGCCTGCACCCATGGGGTTTGGGCGCCGTGGGGGGACAGTGGGGACCATGGGAGGTGGCTCAGCCCCAGCACCCACAGTATGGGCTGGTAGAGCTGTGTCCCTGCCCAGCACCGTCCGTCCCTGGGCGTCACCCAGGGCTGGTGGCAGGGCAGGGTGCCCCGTGCCCATGGGCAGAGGATGGCAATGCCACCCACTGCATATTTGGGAAAACCCAAATAACACCACATGCTGATGTGCAAGGCCAGGGCAGCTCCTTGGTGGTGACACAAGTCAGCATGGCTGAGCTGGGGCTGCCAGACACCGAAATCCACTGTCCCACTCACAGGGTGACAGATGACCTGTGCCGGGTGCAAGGGGAGGCAGAGGGTGCCTGGCTGGAGGAGCCAAGAGTACCCAGGCCAGCGTTAAAAACATGCTGGGGGTGGCAGCAACCCTGGGGACAGGCTTTGCTGCCTATGCCACGCCGATCCAACATTTGGCTCTGGGGTGCTGGCACAGGGTGCTCCATGCCATCCCCAGCACCCATTTCTGACAGGGGGGACCAGTGGCTCAGCGGTCCCACAGGCAATCGGGGCAGTGTCCCTGGTGTGTCCTGCCAGGAGACCTGGCACCCGGTGCCTGTCTGTGCTGGCCGCAGGTGTGGGCACTGGCTGGTGCCTGGGGGTCCAGGCGCCGCGCCGTTCCCAGGCATTCCCACAGCCCTGTGACGACTTCAGTAACAACATAACAACCTGTCAACACAGCTCCTAATTGCCAGCCACATACTGACACCCCAGCCATACATTATTTAAACATCCCCGATTCGGCGCTATAAGGAAATTCCATGGGAGCCACTTATCGGTTATTCTAATGGTGCAGGAGATAAGCTGTCGCCCTGGAATTTCCCTCTAGCATGGGGTGACTGCTCACCCAGCTCCAGGGCCCTGGGAAAAGGGTTATTTGGGGTGCTGGAGGGGCCTTTGTCCCCTTGGCCATCAGCTCTTTGTGGGGGGGGTGTCCCGAAGAACACTGTCCCATGTGCCCAGGTGACATGGAGCAGCAGCCAGCTTCAGGGGACTTCGCGCCCTGAGTTAAGGCCACAATCCTCCTCGTGTGCTCTAAGAAATGGGTGTTTGGGGGTATTTTGTGCTGTGGTGCAGGTTTGGGGGCAAATTGTCACCCATGGATGAGCTGGCAGCCGCAGCTCTGTCTGCTGCGGCTGGGATGGAGGTGGCACCTGTGGGGTGCGGGGACCTGCCCCTGGGGTCCCTCATCCCATCCACCTCCCAGCCCCAGGGTGCATGTCCTGTGTGGGGTGGGGGACCCAAGGGTGGCTCCAGCGCACTCTAAAGCCCAGCTCCTGCCACCAAGGCTTCCCTTTAGGGCACCATTTGCTAAGGAACGCTTGGAAACATCACCTGGAAACACCCAACTGTCTCAGAACGCAGGTCTGGCTGCCCAGCGAGGGCTCTCGGCAGGCAGCAGGCATGGCAGGGCCCATGGGCAGGGGCTGGATAGGAGCCCAGGGTGCCAGCCCCACCATCCCGGCTCACCCCTATGGGTGCCCTCATACTTCCCAACCCTGCTGCCTGGGCTGCGAAGGGTTAAAGAGGGGGATGGGGGGATGACACAACGACAAACGCACAAATAAATGCCTTTTAATTTAATTTTGCTTTAATACGTAAAACTGTTGCTTTTGGCAGGAGGCGCCACCGCCCAGCCAAGAGCAACACGTGGATTTTCAGAGTCAAGGGGCTCCTTTTAACATAGAGAGCAGCAGCCGCCCCTCATTTCTGCCCCGCACCCTGGGGTCCTCCTCCCCCCACCCCGACACCCTCCTTGGGTGCTCCATGGGATGCCCAAGCCCTACCCAAGCCTCAGGGACCTGCAGTGGGGACAGCAAAGGACCCAGGGAGCCCTTCCCAGAGCTTCATCCCACCCGCAGCAGTGGGCAGGGGGGTGCCACCAGCATCCCAACCCTTGGCCAAGTGTTGCCCTTTGATTGCACCACTGCCTGTGCCAGCAACCTGCCCACCCGTACCCACACCCCTGGGGTATGCCAGGGCAGCTGGGGAGGGGACAGCATGATGCTTGCCACTGGCCTGGGGACATCACGACCATGCACAGAAGCCGAGATCTCCAGCAGGTCTGGAAGCCTCGCAGTGAAAACAAGAACACCAGGTAGAGCAACACAGCAGATTTACAGCCTTGGAAGTGGCCCTGGGCTGGGAATCCAATATCAATAGCTGGAAGAAAGGGCTCACAGAGACTGCACAGAAATCCTGCCCGGGAAGTGTCCAGGCTGGCGGAGTGGGGCTGTATCGCAGGAGCCTGGGAGCCTGTGGTTCCTGGCAGCAGCTTTGCCCCATTTCCTTTCTTCCCGTCAACAGCGCTTGCAAACCTGTGCAAGAGCCTCAGCGAGGGGAGGGGGAAGGAGAGCAGGAAGGGCCATGGGTGGAGAAAAAATCCCATGCTGCTGCCCCGGGGGAAAGAGAGGCTGCAGCAATGCCCCTCTTGCCCAGCCACAGATGTGTTCTCCCTGGGTGGCAGGGTTTGGGGGATCCCCCTTGGCACCAGCAATGGGGACAGCCCTGGCGGGAGCCAGGGAGGGGGCGATGGAGCTGGGGAGAGGATGCTGGAGCAGAGGAGAGAATGATGGAGCAGGGGAGGGGGCAATGGAGCAGGAGAGGGGGCGACGGTGGTGGGGAGGGAGCAGTCTAGTAGAGGAGGTGGTGATGGAGCTGGGGAGGGAGGCAATGGAGCCAGGGAGGGGGTGATGGAGCTGGGCAGGGGGTGATGGCTCCAGGAAGGAGGTGATGAAGCTGGGGAGGGGCAAAGGAGGTGGCGAGAGGGCAATGGAGGTGGGGAGGGGGCAATAGGGCAGGGGATGGGGCAATAGGGCAGGGGATGGGGCAATGGAGGCAGGGAGGGGGTGATGGAGCTGTGGAGGGAACTGTAGGTGCTGTCCTGTCGAGCCTTGGCCAGGGCAGGCAGGACTTGCTGCAGGGTGGTGAGGGGCCCCATGGCAGCTGTGCTGGCCTCACCCCTGCCCCTCCCAGCGGGGTCTGCCCCACTGAGCCCATGGACCCTCGGTGGTCCCAGCTCCCCCCAGCTCCAGGTTCGCAGGCAGGGGCTGGAGCACAGAGGGAAAACCCAAATAACGAGGCCAGGCCACCAGCCGTGCCCAGGGGCAGACCTGGGCTCCGTGGCACCCTGTGCTCTCCCTGCCAGCCGGGAGGGAGGGCGATGGCACAACCCTACAGGGATCCGGGGGGATAATTTTCCCTTCCTGAAGAATTTCACAGGAATAGCTGGTGCAAAAGGCCAGTGGCTTCAATTTCAAAGGGATGCCGGTGCTGGGGCCGGATGGGCTGGCGAGCAGGTGGAGGGGTCCATCCTGGCAGCACCCCATGCCAGGCACCCTGTGGGGCCGCAGGCTGGCACCCACCCGGCTGGAGGGGCAGCTGCCCCCTGCCCTGGCCACCCTCTCCCTGGGGACACCCTCCTGTGCACCAGCAGGAGCGATCCTCAAACCCAAACCCTTCCTACCCCTGGGCAGGGTCCTGTGTGATGCAGATGCACACACGTGCGCACCAGACTGTGCACGCCACACAGGCAGGTGGCAGCGGGGTGGGAATATGGGGATTTTGAGGGACAGTCCCCAAACAAATGGGTGGAGGATCCTGACACTGGTGGGAAGAGATGGGTGAACATGCGGCACAGATCCTGCCCAGCCCCAGCCAGTGCCAACAGAAGGGAAAAGACATTTCTTCCCTGATTCTGGCATTAACTATAGCACTGAGAACCCCGGTGGGGGGGAATTACCAGCCCCACTTGCTATACACCCAACTGCAGCTACTTTGGTGGCTTCACAGTGTGTGCCACTGGGCAGGCAACCCTCTCCTGGAAGGGCGCTGTGGGTACAGCAGCACCAGTGGCAACAGGCAAGGCAGGGAGCACTGAGCACCCCAGCCTCACGTGCTGGGGGGTTCCGCTGGCCCCCAGCCAGATGCTGACACCCTGTCACTTGCTGCTGAGACACCTGGACCCTGGCATGTGTCCCCTGAAG